GTTATATTGAAAATTTCAAATTTCAAAGTAAGATTTGTTTTCTATTGTATAATCATCGTTGATCGAGAATGACCAAAAATGTCAGAATGGCTGAAATAAAAGGTTTCAGAGTTCACTGTGTGTGTGTGTGTGTGTGTGTGTGTTATGTGAGATATTTCGATTGAACGGAAAAATGGAAAGTTCCAGAGCTAACTAATTGTGTATGTGTGTGTGTGTGTGTGTGTGTGTGTGTGTGTGTATGTGTGTGTATGTGTGTGTGAGGTAAGCCGATTGGTAATTGAACAAAGAAATGAAAATTTTTAGTTTTGAGTAGTTGTGTAAGAGACAAATTGATCGACAGAGCCTGATTTGTTTTTTTCGAAGTGCGTATGTTTATAGAAAGAAAAGAGGAGGTGAGATATTGGGAAAGAGAGAGAGAGAAAGAGAGAAAGAGGAATAAAAGAGGACAAAGTGTATGAAAGAATCTGAAAAAAAATAAGCGGGTGAGTTAGTAGTCTCTGGCCAAAGAAGAGTTGTAATATTTCCGCATTCGAAAAGATCAACATTCTGTATATGTTGTATATTATTATTCTTTTGTTATTTTTCATAATAAATATCAATTGTTTTTATTTTTATTAATCACGATTATCTCTGAACTAATGCTCACAATTTTCATATTTTCATATATTCCAATTTCCATAAGCATCATCTTCATAAGCTGATATTTAATTACATGAATATTTGCTTGGTAAATTTCTCGTATAATTATTCGAACGATCAAAAACTTATAAAACGAGAATATGACAAAAATATAATTTTTTTTTATTGAAAATGACTTAAAAAAAAAATGCTTCGATTTATTTCCTTTTGTCCTTTTATATGAAAATAATGATCTTCTCTTTTTTAACGGGAATTTAAAAAACAATTTCGTATTATCCGAAATGGGTCAAGTGCTTATTTGATGGCGGCACGATTCGCCATGTCACAGTATACCTATGGACATTTGCGGTATTTGTTGTTAATGTCTTACCCAAGGACATCGTACCACGTCCAGTAAACTGCCGCTCTTGGTCCGCGACTGCATATGCAGTTACCTCCTATAACTAGAAGACATTCCACTATCCGCCACCTGTGGACGCGTCCGATAGCAGTTAAGAGCTCTGCTTACGATTTTCAATGTTACCTTGAAATCGACGGATTATTTTTTAACGAAGAGAATGAGTTTTACGTTTTGCGACAATAAGAAATATTTCCCAAAAATGAAAATGCAAACAGACATTTGCACTTGAGTAGAAACTTTTACATTTTTCATTTAATTCGAACGTAGAAACGTTCTACATTTGAAAAAGATTTTTTGAATTTTGACGATAGACTCTGAAGGTTTCCTCTTTGTAACTCAAAGATTTGGGAAAATGAAGGGCTAAAAGATGGTGGAAGAATTTTGTCCAATAGTTGGTTTTATAGCGATGGTGGTAATAATGAGATTTAAGATTTAGCCATAGTTGAGTTGAAGTAATATTATGTATGTGTATTAGTGTGGACGCGTTCGTACAAAATGCAATTTTGCATATGTACATAATTTTTGTTTAACGATAATCATGAGAATGATAATAATAATAATTATTATTTTAATACATTAACAAATGGAATAATAAAATTATGGATAAAGAAAATTTATATTAAAGGATTCTGATCAATTATTGATTGCGTTGTCTTAACTGGAGTAGTATGATTTAAGATTTAGAACAAGTTGGGGTAGGGATTATATGCGTTCTTTGTACGTCTGGATGTACTATTGTACGAGATGCAGTAATTTTACAATTATAATAATAATGACATTGATGATTATAATGATGATTATAAACGAATTAATTATCATATTATAATAATAATAATAATAATAATAATAATAATAATAATGGCGTGGATAGTGTAGTGAACTATGATATATAGTAATATAACATATAGTAAGAGAAAAAGAAAATTAGATGTTTGAAAATCAGTATCATCCTAATATAAACTTACATTATAATTATTTTGATCACTTCAGTTAATTTTTCTGGATTTTAATTGAATTATAGTATCAATTAAATGCTGTAATTTTTTTTTTTTTTTTTTTTTTTTTTTTTAGCAAAGGTCCGCCTAAGGAATAAACTTTTTCATAACTTTTCAAAATGTACGCAGTTTTTGTTCGCTCGAATTTTTTATATATATTTTCGTTAAATATTATTAAATTTATATATCACACTTTATAATTATATTTCCAAATACATATATAAATTGTAGTTAGTTACTAGATATAATTTTAGATATTGAAATATTTGAATTGAACAAAGTTATGAATGATAATTTTTTTTCCTTCTTCCTCATGCAGTTCCAAGCATTGATAATATAATTATTGAATTCAGGTAGAATCAATTGACTTTTTCTCCTCTCTAACATTCAATACTTCAACTATCAGTATATTAAACTCAGCGGTTCAGAAAATCGAAATTTAAAATTACATTTTTCGAAGGTTTTGGAAAAGAATTTTTGGAATTTGTTAGAAATAGAAACGGCTAAGATTAACTTACGGATAATCAAAATCTAGATATAGTATATAACAATAGTTTTCCAAAAGTCTGTTCGTATTGTTCGTATATGTAACATATATATGATCAGTAAAAACGTTTCAGTGACGTAAAATATGCGTCAAAATTTTTGAGTTAACGGTAAAGATAAGTACTTGAACGAATGATGTCAGGTCTGTTTGGTCAATAGGTTTATACATTATCGATAGACAATTTCTCGAAAAAAAAAAACTTTTGATTTATTTAGACTGAATCGTTGAGTTAAAGAATTCTGTAATAATAAATATTAAACAAAATTACTAACACTTTTTCAATTTTCTCTTTCATTGATATTCCCCCCGTGTTCCTTCTATATTTTTTTTTTTTTTTTTTTTTTTTTTCTATATAAACCCTCGTCAGTTATATGAGTATACATATATCTTTGTACCTAAGTGCTTTATTATAGAAAAGGAGTATTCAATATTTAGAAGGTGTCTTTGTAAGTGTCCCTTGATAAGCGGTATGGCCATATTGACCTTTAGTCGACAACTGTGCGCAGTTGATCGATGACAATGACGTGTCTCCTTCTTTGAAAGCTATAATTTTCTTCCTGTATTGCTCTCTCACTTTTTCGAGCACTGCTCTAACTCAATTTTTAATATACCTAACATTAATATGCTTCGTTGTATTCTGTTTTACGAGAAATCCAATTCTGATGATTTACAATATTTATTAAGCTGTTCGCTTAATTAACAAAATATTTTTACGATTTTGAAATTTGTTAATAAATAAATGTCGATTAAATGTCAATCGAATTGTTTTGATGGAAGAGAAGTAAAGGAGATCAAATATGTTTATTTAAATCTGATGAATTTAATTTTTAAAATTATGTTTTATTGTACTGTTATATTATGTATTATATATGTATTATATATAACACACGAAATGTTCAATTAAATAATTAATTATTATTTTTTACTTCTTTTCATAGGATGTGTGTGATGTAAATATAATTGTTAGAATGCGATTAGAACGTTATAAATAAATAAATCTAATAATAAAGAAATTTATGATCTTAAGTAATGCTTTTGGATTTTGAAGAAATTAAAATGTTTTCTATTTTTCGTAATTTCTTCAAAAATTGCGAAATATTTCGTTAAATATATCGAAAAATTTTGATTGAATATGAAAATATTTCAGATAAAAGTTAGATCTTTTTTCTTTTCTTTTTGTTTCTCTTTTTTTTTTTTTTCTTTTCTTCAGATAGAATATGCTGCCTCATCGTATCTGCCAATTACGAAATTACGATCATTATAGTATGTATGGAAAGAAGGGACATGACCATTATGGCGGAAAAAAATAAATAGCCATAAGAAAAATAAATCAATTTATAAATTATAACTTATAAATGAACAAAGATATATACGGAAATACTTTCTTCAAATTATTTCTCAGTACATTATAAAAAATAAAAACAAAAATAGTTTCTAATAATAAATTTCTATACAATAGGAAAATCTAAAAATAGATTTCTAAACAATAGATTTCTATATAATAAAGTAAATCTTTGTAATATCCTTGAAACTTTACACCGAACAAAAAATACAAAATTTCCGTTTGAATATATATATTTTCTATAATAACAAGTATCAAGCCATGCGATCTAGATATTTTATAATCGACTTTTATATATGAAATATTAATTTTCATTAAATTATTCAATTGTTATATTATATTTATTAAAATATTCTATTTATGATGTTTATAAACGATTGAAAAACCGATTTCTTACGTGTCCGATAGAATAGATTTTAAAGTATTTCTTCTCCGTATTTCAAAAATTTGAAAAAAATGAGTGATGATGAGCGGGTGGAAGGGAGGGGCGGGAGCAAAAATTCTGACCAATCGTAAAGATTCATAGAGTAGGATTTAGGATAGGTGGGGTAATTTATATTCAACGTTTCTATGTGTATATGATTGTACGGAATTTAATTTCGTTAAATAATACTAATACTGATGATGAAAATAGTAAAAATAATAATAATAATAATTATAATAACAATAATAATAATAATAATAATAATGATATATTGTATTATAATAATAATTATAATAATAATTATAATAATAATTATGATAATGAGATGGTAGAGTGGAATATAAATTTCCTCCCCTCCCTAAAAAAAAAAATGATGACGTAAGTTCTTTTTCAACGTATTTAACGTCCTTCCCGTTTGTTTAATATCTATATTTGTAACGATCAAATTAACGCGGGGAACTACAAAGATCGAAGATAGCGACACCTCTACAACCAAATATATATAATCTATCCCCGCCATAACTGAAGTCAGTCGTGATCAGACAATCACAAAGTAAACACGTTTAGTCTTTAATAAAAAGTAATATTAATATATATATATTTTTATATATTATATTTTATATATATATATCTTTTATTTATATATTATATTTTATATATATATACCTTTTATTTATATATTATATTTTATATATATATATATCTAATAATTCATTGTTATATTTTATTCTTATCAATAATCTTCATATGAAGATTTAACAAATTACATAAGAAGTGAAATATCAAAACGAAAGAAGATATTCTCTTTGGTGTGATTGGTACGTATGAAAATTTTATAATATAATATATAATATAATATATATGTATACAGATTATATAATATATATAATATAATATATATATATATATATGTATATAGATTACAAGGAACATCGTAATCACAGTTAAGATAGTTGAATTATCGGTACTTTTATTTGACCGGTATATTCTCTCTGACCAATGACAAAAAGTAGATCGAGCATAATCAAAAAAATAATCGTTACGAAAATACGAAGATTAAAAGATCTCTCTAAAGGATCTAAAGGATTCCAACAACTTTCGGACACACCAGGATGAAAGAAGAGTAAACCAAATAAAGAAAAAAAAAGGAAAAAAAAAAAAACAAAAATTTTTAGGAACAAAGAACACACATGTCAACAAGATTAAAAGATAAAGATAGTCATTATGAAGATACTCTTGTTGAGAATAGTAACAACGAAGATAAAGAATACAACCAATAATGAGATTAGACAATGACGAAATGTCGAGGGATAAAAAAAAATAATGATTGGGATCAAATGAAAGTGAGTAAACGATAAATAAATATGACGTTTGTTATCATTTTTATTCGCAGAAATGTGCGAATAACGTAAAAACGTAGGATTAATATATTAAAGGCACCAATGAAATATTACCGACGTTCAAATCGGATTTATTCGGATCTCGAGGTTGAGAGATAAATTGAAGAAAAATAAAGAATAATTTCGATTAATCGAAAAAAATAAAAAAAATAGATCATTTATGATTCTGTATACGCCACACGGTTAAACGATTTTGAATCGTTAGAGAAGATTTTGAAGCATTATTAATTAGCGAATTGGAGAGAAGTCTGGCAAAACGATGATGTGATTGCCCGTCTTTCTCCATGGTAACGATTAGTTGCACGAGAATACAATAGGAAGATAGGATAGAACGCGGCAGAGAGTATTTACTACGGTAAACTAGCCAAAGGCACAAAAGCAACCATGCCGGATAAGGAAACAGTCGAATGGAGATTAGTTTTGGGACTAAGAAACATACAATTCCACGATTATTTGGGACATCTTTCAAGATATGCAAAACCTATCTCTACCAGTCAACTGCTAGCAGACTTTAAAAAAAAAGTGCTGATCATTAACCACACTAACCGACCATATCATGATAAATTGATGAAAAGCAGGACTGTTAACGACAATTACGTGATACAACTGTAAATAAGATAATAAGTGTACAAAATTATAAAGTAATGTTACATTTTTGAATGCAATAAAGCAAATTGTTATTTATTATTTATTAAGATTGGAGAAAGAGAACGTCGAGGATAATAACTTTGTAGAAAGAACTACAATAGCAGAGATATATAGTTCGAACAAGTCAAACTATAATCAGATCAATTATGATCGATCTAGGAAACTTATGCGTAATACTAAATACAGGATTAACAACGACGATGAAATAGGACTGACGTACATATCTAAAGTTTCATAAAATTAACAGAGTATGGATATGGATATGTATTATAACTGTATTATAACTGTTGGAACTATAATTGGGAGTAAAGGAGAATTGAAGATCTATCCGTAGTTCCGATGACGTATCAAGTCATCCCTTTGATCCTATAGGTCATCATCCCTTACGGGAGGATGACATACAGGACGATATTGTAATCGTGAGTAGATCAAATGAATTGTTAATGAGATAATCTCAGAACAGATTGATATTAATAATCAATGATGACAATTAATCCCAAGATATGTTTAGTAACAATAGTGAACGACAAGACCATGTAGATTGTAGAGACATGTATTAAATATTACTGTCTCGTAATGGACAAAGAGATAGCGCGTCATTACATGCGGAAAACCGATCCAACAAGGAAGACACGAGAATAGAAGCGAACATTGGATCATATTCATTATACACAAAAATGTTGTACACCGAACTATTGAATAGTAAGTATTTTTAACCTGTATTGAGATATATAATTGTTGAGAATTTTTTGAAACAAATGGATATTGTATCGATAGAACTGAGATGGATAGAAACACCAATGGGATTCGACAATTGTACATTATCAACCGTATTGATTATCCAACATCATGAACGACGACAACAGGAAATAATGCACAGTAACTAGATTATAGAAGGTAACATCATTGAAGCGAATGATTTTCTGTTTTCCTGTTGTTCGATGATACTACTCTTTTCGAGATAAAATGACGTGCAAGGTATGAATGGGAGAATGAAGGGGAAAGGGAATGTAGATCGTAAAACAGTTAAATAATAACAATGAAATAATAATATTCTATATCGAGAAAATACAGGATCGATCGAACAGACAGAGTAGACATATTAAATAGTATATCATATCGAGTCCTAAGTAAGCGTTATATTATCAAGTATTACCGATAACTGAAGTTTCTAAACTATATGATTGTCGTTTAACATATACGGTCGGATTTTATCAGTTCGCTGGAATATCATTTCGACTTTCTAATGCTGCCTGTCGCGTTTCAACGACTATGTTTAATGTAGTTTTAGATAATCTGCCGGAGATTATTGCAATTGTATGTATATTTGAACGGTATCATTGCAACATCGCAAAAATATCGAAGAAGGAATAGATATCCTCTCTTTCTCTTTCTCTCTATCTGTCTCATACCGCGTTCCCTTTGTTACATTATACTACTCTACATTGAATTTCTGATAAGTAATGTATATACCAATCGTAACCATCTAAATTACAACCGAGTTGCTATTTATAATTAGATTTCTAAAATAATGTTTCCTAATTGTCCATTTGCAATTTGGTATCTTTATGTGTTCGATATGTTATTTTCTATCATTAGAAAATTTTTCTAATTTATTGACTATCAAAGTGTTTCCTGTAACACTGAACGTTTAGACAAGTTCTATTATTAGATAAACTCTTTTAAAAAACAATTTTAAGTCCCGTTACAGATGATATTTACAAATTACTCTAAATCATGGAATAGTTATTATAATTGCACCTTAAAACAATTATGTATTTATTCAAAATTATTTTTTTTTTCATAGAGGACATAGAAATCTTGGCTATTTATCTAACGAAATAATATAATATATATATATATATATATATATATATATATATACATATATATACATGTATATATAATTTTATCTGACTAGTTAGTTCATATCAGGAAAATATTATTATACCTTGTTTAATTTTGCCAAGTCTAATCGATTTTAATATGACATAAAAATTTTTATCTATATCGATAAATTTTTTCATAACAATCTTTAGGAGTGTTCAGATTTCAACAATACATACTTAACAATATTATACACGGTACACGATTTTTCATTGATAGAAAATATGAATTAGTTTTGATTGAAATAAGAAATTAGAGACGAAATATAAAGGGCTATACGAAATCGTGAAGATACTTGATAACGATAGATATTTGATACAGGATATTGAAACAGAACAACAGAGTAATACATTTTATAAGATTATCGTTGCTTTAAATAGACTGAAACCTCTATCAATATTCAACGAATCATATGTATCGTGTTATGTTAGATTTCACTTTTCTCAATAAGCAAACTGTTCTAGAAACTATACAGAATCTCTACTTCGTTTTTCTTGTTCTTGTTTTACTTAATTTTTTAATGCTGTCGATACAATGAAATTCGCATCCTTCTTAAATTTTTTTTTTATTGCATCTTAAATTCGCACAATACCTACTTATTCTTTAAATTATCCGATGTCTCAATTTTCCCTAAAAACAATACGTTAGTATTCGCTTCGTAAAATCTCTCTATTTTTAACATTATAATGGAAACTGAAAAATTCACTCTTTACTATCGAATATTTTGTTTTAATATTCTATTAAGCGCTTAAATTTAATGATGTTTCACTATTTTTTTTTTTTAAACAACGTAAGATAACGCTTTTTCTTATAAGCAATTTGTTCAAATAAAAATTCTGAACATGAATGATTTTCATTTCTCTTGACTTTAATTGAAGGAAGTACACTTAATTTTTCATTGTTGCATTAAAAATTATGCACGATATGACAATCATACACTAATGCTTTATTTCGAATACTACGTACTTTCACCTTAAGAGATTAAATGCGATTATTATTGAATCTTTGCTTTTTTGAACAGATAACTAGTTTTGTATATCTCATTGCATTTATTTTAATTTTTGCTAAATCATAACTCTGTTCTTTCAATTAAAGAAATCTATATTATGTTCGTTAGAATTCAGTCTGTCAAGATTGTCAATAATTCGCATAATAATGCCACCGATGTAGAGATACACATTTCTTCTGATTATTTTCCATTTCCAGAATACGTTAGGTTTATTAAATAGTTCTCTATTTTCTGAAAGAAATGAGGATAACTTCCCTATGAACCGTCTACTAGATGTTTACTTGTATTATAACTTATCAGATTCCTACTACAGAGTTTCTCCCTCTGTAATACATTCGTTCTTTCATCACGAATTTTACACACGCATAGATTTTTTTAAAGTTCTTCGTGCATAAATAGTTGTATATTACGTTTGATTAGAATTGAATATATTTTTCTTGAAATATTTTCTAGTCATGCAGATTTCATAGCGCTTAATTCAATTTAATAGAACAACAAATAAAAACTCTGCACCTAAATGATTCTCAGTTGGTTTAATTTCAAATGAAAGGTATGTACACTTAATTTTTGCTCCTTTCATGAAAAGTTTTGCACGAAATCATAAAATACTGCATTATTCAAAATATTAGTAGATATCACCTTAATAGTTAAAAGCGATTCTTATTGAATCTTTCTTTATTTGCAAAGACAAATAGTTTTGTAGGCTCTTTAGTATTTATGTTAACTTTGTTAAATCATAACATTTATTTTAGTTAAAGAAATTTATATTATGTCCGTTAGAATTCGGTCTGTTAAGATTGTCCATAATTCCCTTAATAATGCAACCGATGTAGGGATACACATTTCTTCATTTATTTTCCTTTTCCATAATACCTTAGGTTTATTAAATAATTCCCTATCTTCTGAAAGATGTGAAGATATCTTCCCTATGTATCGTCTACTAGATGTCTGCATGTATTATAATTTATCAGATTCCTACTACAGAGTTTCTCCCTCTGTAATACATTCGTCCTGTCATCACGAATTTTAGACGTGGATAGATTATTTTAAAGTTCTTCGTGCAAAAATAGTTGTGTATTACATTTGATTAGAATTGAATATATTTTTCTTGACATAACTCCTAGTCATGCACATTTCATAGCGCTTAGTTCAATATATTAACTGGTTTAGTAAAAATTCTGCACGTAAATGATTCTCAATTGGTTTAATTTTAAGCGAATGGTCTGAACTCTTAATTTTTGCTCGTTTCTCAAAGAATTTTGCACGAAATCTTAAACTGCTGCATTATTCTATAACTAGATGATTTCATCTTAATTGTTAAGAGCGATTCTTATTGAATATTTCCTTTTTGAACAGACAACAGGTTATGAACGTCCCATAGCATTTATTTTAATTTCTGTTAAATCATAACTCTGTTCCTTCAATTAAAGAAATCTATATTATAGCCGTTAGAATTCGGTCTGTAAAGATTGTCCATTATTCGCATAATAATGCCACCGATGTAGAGTTACACATTTCTTCCGATTATTTTCCTACTCCATACTTCGTTAGGTTTATTAAATAGTTCTCTATTCTCTGAAAGAAATGAGGATATCTTCCCTATGTGCCATCTACTAGATGTCTGCATGTATTATATTTTATCAGATTCCTACTATAGAGTTTCTCCTGTGTAATACATTCGTCCTTTCATCACGAATTTTAGATGTGGATGGATTTTTTTAAAGTTCTTCGTGCAAAAATACTTGTGTATTACATTTGATTAGAATTGAATATATTTTTCTTGACATAACTCTTAGTCATGCACATTTCATAGCGCTTAGTTCAATGCGTTAATTTGCTTAGTAAAAATTCTGCACGTAAATGATTCTCGATTGGTTTAATTTTAAGAGAATGGTCTGTAGTCTTAATTTTTGCTCGTTTCTCAAAGAATTTTGCACGAAATCTTAAACTGCTGCATTATTCTATAACTAGGTGATTTTATCTTAACTGTTAAGAGCGATTCTTATTGAATATTTCCTTCTTGAACAGACAACAGGTTATGAACGTCCCATAGCATTTATTTTAATTTTTCTTAAATCATAACTCTGTTCCTTCAATTAAAGAAATCTATATTATGTCCGTTAGCATTCGGTCTGTTAAGATTGTCCACAATTCCCATAATAATGCAACCGATGTAGAGATAGACATTTCTTCCGATTATTTTCCTTTTCCAGAATACGTTAGGTTTATTAAATAGTTCTCTATTTTCTGAAAGAAATGAGGATACCTTCCCTATGAACCGTCTACTAGATGTTTACTTGTATTATAACTTATCAGATTCCTACTACAGAGTTTCTCCCTCTGTAATATATTCGTCCTGTCATTACGAATTTTAGACGTGGATAGATTTTTTTTAAAGTTCCTCGTGCAAAAATAGTTGTGTATTACATTTGATTAGAATTGAATATATTTTTCTTGACATAATTCCTAGTCATGCACATTTCATAGCGCTTAGTTCAATACAATGACTGGTATCATAAAAATTCTACACCTAAGTGATTCTCAATTGGTTTCATTTTAAGAGAATGGTCTGTACTCTTAATTTATGCACGTTTCTTAAAAAATTTTGCACGAAATCATAAACTGCTGCATTATTCTATAACTAGGTAATTTCATCTTAATTGTTAAGAGCGATTCTTATTGAATATTTCCTTTTTGAACAGACAACAGGTTATGAACGTCCCATAGCATTTATTTTAATTTTTGTTAAATCATAACTCTGTTCCTTCAATTAAAGAAATCTATATTATAGACGTTAGAATTCGGTCTGTAAAGATTGTCCATTATTCGCATAATAATGCCACCGATGTAGCGATACACATTTCTTCTGATTATTTTCCATTTCCAGAATACGTTAGGTTTATTAAATAGTTCTCTATTTTCTGAAAGAAATGAGGATAACTTCCCTATGAACCGTCTACTAGATGTTTACTTGTATTATAACTTATCAGATTCCTACTACAGAGTTTCTCCCTCTGTAATACATTCGTTCTTTCATCACGAATTTTACACACGCATAGATTTTTTTAAAGTTCTTCGTGCATAAATAGTTGTATATTACGTTTGATTAGAATTGAATATATTTTTCTTGAAATATTTTCTAGTCATGCAGATTTCATAGCGCTTAATTCAATATAATAGTACAACAAATAAAAACTCTGCACGTAAATGATTCTCAGTTGGTTTAATTTCAAATGAAAGGTATGTACACTTAATTTTTGCTCCTTTCATGAAATGTTTTGCACGAAATCATAAAATACTGCATTACTCAAAATATTAGTAGATATCACCTTAATAGTTAAAAGCGATTCTTATTGAATCTTTCTTTATTTGCAAAGACAAATAGTTTTGTAGGCCCTTTAGTATTTATGTTAACTTTGTTAAATCATAACATTTATTTTAGTTAAAGAAATTTATATTATGTCCGTTAGAATTCGGTCTGTTAAGATTGTCCATAATTCCCTTAATAATGCAACCGATGTAGGGATACACATTTCTTCATTTATTTTCCTTTTCCATAATACCTTAGGTTTATTAAATAATTCCCTATCTTCTGAAAGATGTGAAGATATCTTCCCTATGTATCGTCTACTAGATGTCTGCATGTATTATAATTTATCAGATTCCTACTACAGAGTTTCTCCCTCTGTAATACATTCGTCCTTTCATCACGAATTTTAGACGTGGATAGATTTTTTTTAAAGTTCTTCGTGCAAAAATAGTTGTGTATTACATATGATTAGAATTGAATATATTTTTCTTGACATAACTATTAGTCATGCACATTTCATAGCGCTTAGTTCAATGTATTAACATGTTCAGTAAAAATTCAGCACGTAAATGATTCTCAATTGGTTTAATTTTAAGCGAATGGTCTGAACTCTTAATTTTTGCTCGTTTCTCAAAGAATTTTGCACGAAATCTTAAACTGCTGCATTATTCTATAACTAGGTGATTTCATCTTAATTGTTAAGAGCGATTCTTATTGAATATTTCCTTCTTGAACAGACAACAGGTTATGAACGTCCCATAGCATTTATTTTAATTTTTGTTAAATCATAAGACTGTTCTTTTAATTAAAGAAATTTATATTATGTCCGTTAGAATTTCGTCTGTTAAGATTGTCCATAATTCCCATAATAACGCAATCGATGTAGCGATACACATTTCTTCTGATTATTTTCCTGTTCCACAATACGTTAGGTTTATTAAATAGTTCACTATTCTCTGAAAGAAATGAGGATATCTTCCCTTTGAACCGTCTACTAGATATTGTTTGTATTATAACTTATCAGATTCCTACTACAGAGTATCTGTCTTCATAACACTATCGTCCTTTCATCACGAATTTTACACACGCATAGATTTTTTTCAATTTCTTCATGCATAAATAATTGTGTATTAGGTTTGATAAGAATTGAATATATTTTCCTTGAAATATCTACTAGTCATGCACATTTCATAGCGCTTAGTTCAATATAATGGTGCTATTAATAGAAATTCTACACGTAAATGATTCTCAATTGGTTTAATTTTAAATGAAAGGTATGTACACTAAATTTTTGCTCCTTTCATGAAAAGTTTTAAACGAAATTATAAAATGCTGCATTATTCCAAATATTAGTAGATATCACCTTAATAGTTAAAAGCGATTCTTATTGAATCTTTCCTTATTTGCATAGAAAAATAGTTTTGTAGGTCCCATATTATTTATATTAACTTTGTTCAATCATAACACTGTTCTTTTAATTAAAGAAATCTATATTATGTCCGTTAGCATTCGGTCTGTTAAGATTGTCCACAATTCCCATAATAATGCAACTGATGTAGAGATACACATTTCTTCTGATTATTTTCCTTTTCCAGAATACGTTAGGTTTATTAAATAGTTCTCTATTCTCTGAAAGAATTGAGGATATCTTCTCTATGTGCCATCTACTAGAAGTCTTCATGTCATATAATTTATCAGATTCCTACTACAGAGTTTCTCCCTCTGTAATAGATTCGTCCTGTCATTAGGAATTTTAGACGTGGATAGATTTTTTTAAAGTTCCTCGTGCAAAAATAGTTGTGTATTACATATGATTAGAATTGAATATATTTTTCTTGACATAATTCCTAGTCATGCACATTTCATAGCGCTTAGTTCAATACATTACCTGGATTAA